CTAACTCCCACATTAGTTCACCACAGAAATCCCCTGAGTCTTAGGGCACAACCATGTTTTTCCGAATCTCACCTTAAAGAGGAGAAACACAAGCAGCCTTCTGTTTGGAAAATTGACCCACATCAGTGGATTTCACACTTTTTTGATTTGTAGGCCTCAACAATTTTTTCCAATGGGACTGTAGCCTACTGCATAGTGCAAAATCCTGCAGCCTGCTTTGCATAGGTGCGCCAGCACTAGGTATAGAGTGGCCAGAGCAGATTCAAAGAGATATGTGGAAGATTCATCTCAAGGAACAGATGTGGGACATCTCCATACTAGATCAATATGGTGAATTTTACACGCAGTGTGGGAAAGGCACGTGCACTGAGAGTATGTAGTGGTATGTTAGCAAAACTGTTTGTGAAAGCCACTTTCCAGCAGCAAAGAAGATATACAAGCTAAAATTTGGTCGTTTATAGATATTTCTCTTTGCTGGAAGACAGACATTGGGTGATAAAGGTTTTTATTCTGAGAGTTCAAAGAGATTTAGAAAAGAAATAATAAACCCCCTTTGTTTCACATGATATTAAAGATGTAATTTTTTAAATAATTATTCCACAACTTAATCAGTTCTTTGAGAGACTTACAAATCCAATTTACATCAGCAATGCAAATGTAATAGTATAAGAGTCTTTAATGAGGTGGATGCACTCATTTATGTTCAAATCATAACAAAGAGAGGAAAAAAAACAGAAACAGGCCACCTTGTCTTTGCCCATGGTCAAACTTTTCACAATGAAGTGTTGAACAAAGGCCTTCAGACTTCCTGGGAGAACATTTGCCTTCCACACTCCTTCTGATATTTCTTGCTACTTCTTGAAGAAAAGAGCTTAAATTTAAAGACTCTGCAGACTCTGTCTCATGCTATTATAATCTCTTTATTTGGCAATGTCCATAGTTAGAAAACTGCAGCAAAATAGGAAAAATCTTCATTCTTTTGTCCTAAATTCAGATACTTTGGTAAAAATAAGTGATAAGTAAACACATATGGTTTAAGTAGTCTTTTTTTAAAAGTCATTATTTTAAATGAGCTGCTTTTATTTCTATATCACTTACGACATTTTGAATATAGTAGCTCAGTAATCACTGTGAATCATCTTTATTATTATGTGTGGGACTGAGAGCATATACTCCATTTATTAATTACTTTAAAGGACTGCATATTGAAATGTTGAGGTGCTGAATTTTTATTCAATAGCTGAGTATGTATCCATTATCTGTCTGAGTGACATAAAAACCCTGTGGTTCGCTTGTTCTTTCACAGAAGATTTATCTGACAAATATTTTCCTAGTGTGGCGTTCCATCATCAGTGTCACTCTTCCTCAGGTGGCATTTCATAAAGAAGTGTCACTACCAGAATAAGGAATAAGTCCCTGTCCTTCTACTGAAAGATGAGCAAAACAGTGGAAGAAAAGTTGTGGAAGAAAATACTCTTCACCACAACACAGGACTGCTATAGATGCATCGGTCAGTGCCACAGTATAGTTAATACCACATTAAGCACAGTGACAGCTATATTCACTTCTGTCTTTTTGGCAGAAAAGTTAAACCTCTATCACGTGGAACTCTGAGGCAAACCCTAATGTTCTGTATTTGGTATTTTTGGAATTCCTGTTTGTGTGCTATGGAGAAAAGTACAGACAATTTTCCAGTAAGTTATTATTGCTCATCAGTTTTTATTCCTGATGAATAAGGATGCTTCAGACCATAAATCTTTCACTGGTCCAGGCTAACTGTTTTCTCTCCTGGGCTTCCAGCCAGCATAATTTTGTAGGGAGGAATGACACAACTTGATGAGAAAGAAGTAAATAGTCCTCTGTTAGCAGCTATTGGAAACAGCAGCTGTTTAAGGCTATTCAGCAGTGGGGGATATTAGCAATGTTACTGGGCAAACTGTAGGTGGTGTGCCATGTGCACGTATTGCCACACACTGCACCAGATTTCTCCAATAGGAAGCTTTCATTTACTGGCAAATGGAATAGTGATATTTATAGTGGTGACTTCTGAAGTACTTGGACAGATTCTGGTAATTTGTCACTGTCCAATATGGATATGGACTAGGGATAACAAGATGAGTGTCTGGCCTTTCATATTTTGATACCTGCCAGGCCCACAACAGTATCTCTTATTCCTAATACTACCAGTATGTAATGGACGTGATGCTAATACATAAGAGAATGGAGTATGTGCAGTTCATCTGGATACACCCTCACACAGCTCTGGGCTGTGATGGGGTTGGAGGAGAAGCTGAGAGTCTGTGCACAAATATCCATGAAGCAAGTAACTGAAAGCAGCATGTGTGTGTGTTTGTAGGTCTTGTCTGGACACAGAGAGTTGTTAGGGCTCCAGTGAAAGTGATGCTGCAATTTATCCTTTCTGCACCCTCATATTTGCATATGTCAAACTAAAATAAGAGCAACTATTCATTTTTCATTTTCCTCCCAGCCCTTCCTCCCTTGCTGTGATGTTCTCCCCAGCTTACACTAAGGCAAGAGTTGTAGTGAGCTCTGATCCACACATCTCTAAGGACTGTTAGATTTAGAAACTGCCATATTTATAAAGCTTGGATCTCTCCTTTCCCAGGGGATTATAAGGGGTGTTTTTCTTACTCTTGAGTATACACATTAAAAATGTTAAAATGGCAACATCTTGATTTATAGAGAATATCTTGTTATTTTTAAGTTTTTAAAAAATTCTTAGAACTAATTTTTCTGTCCCTCTAGGACTTGTACATTCCATTTAAGTTGTCTTTACCAGCACAGAAATATAAAAAGAGAGCAATAACAACTTTTTCAAGTGTTGAGAAGAGACAGGAAAATAGAAGGGGATTTTTTTTCTCTAAAATATATTGCAGTCAAAAATTGTTTTATTGTCTCTTTTTTGGGATGAACTGTGTACCTTGCTATTAGTAATTAATGAAGCCTTACCGAACACTAAAATATGCTGAGAATGTCTAAGGTATGAGATTCTAAACCGAGTTAAGCATATCATCCCTTGTGATTTTCTTATGATTTTCTAAGCTGTTTTATTTTTTTATGACAGAATTTGCAATGGTTTGAGTCACATTAAGTTTGATTCTTTGGCATTTTAAACTTGCAGAAATAGCCATTTTTATTTTTCTTTGTATTAAATTAATGCATTTAAAAATAATAACCATGAATTCTTGGCCTTAGTCTTCTGAATTATCCTTTGATAGACAGTACATATTTTATTAAAACAATGGCATTTTCAATAAGCAAAGCATTTCCTCTAGCATCTGTTTAGAAGAAAAATGAGAAAAATATCCAAATTTAATGATGACATGAACAAAACTTTTTTGGCTATGTCAGGTAGTGTGAAGCCTTCTCTTTTAGATCAGAAATTATTTTTGGCCTCTGGAAACTTGGACCGTCTCCTCTTAGACCAGTGTGCCCAGCTAACCTGGCTCTTCCAGAAGTGCTGCCTCCTCTTTGCCTGCTCATCACCATAGCTTTCACCCTGACTGCTCACCTGCCTGCATGGGAACTGGCCAGGCCCAAATACATTCCTGACCTGTCTGAGTATCCATCTGAAAGGGGGCAGATGCCATTATTCAAAAGTAATTTGGTAGATGGGTCCAGGGGCATTGAGAACTCCCACCAGGAGTGCAGACCCTGCTGCGTGGTTGGCAAAGCACCTGTCCTTGCAGCACATGCTGCTGTCTCCCATTTCAGGCAGCAAGCATATGGTCTGTATGACAAGTAAAGAGAAATACAGTTCCTTAGGGTGGGATGATGCCATGGCCATTTTTCAGCTGCTCCCAAAAGGGAAAGGAGCACCTTGAGTACTGGGAATCCTCTCCTCTCCCACATAAAGGGAGGTGTCTTCCCATTCCCTGGTAGTGTCTTAGAACAACAAGTTTTTTACAAAGGGAGGGAAAGAAAAATAAATTAAGACAAAAAGTCAAAGGAAGTGCTTTATGTGGGAGGAGAGATTTGCAGTCATACATCTTAAAGTAAATGCTGGGGAAAAAGCTGGTCCTTCCTGCACATTTTTGACTGCCCTTTTGGAGCACAAGGTGGAACAGAAAATTCAGGCTTTAGCTGAGAGTTCTCTCCCTGTAATTCCTGCCATACCTGTGGATATGTCTGCTAATGGTGGTGGTGGTGACAGTTGTTAACTGGACACTGTTTTGACACTGCCAAATCCTTTCTCACAGGTCACATTCTGCTTGGTGGTGAACTGCAGTTGAAAGGCTCTGTGTAGCCCATTAACAAATTCTTTCACTGTCCAGACCTCTGAAGTATTTTAAAAGCCTTGTTTAAAAGCTCAAGCACTTCTTTTTTTGTTGGTTGGTTGGTATTTTCTGCTTCACAGCCCTCTTTCTGTTTCTTGTGTCATGGTAATGAATTAACTCTAAGTACAAGTGACAGCCAGGAGAAATGGTAGACTGGGGTCATGCAAGGTGTGGCTTTTGTAGCAAAGATGAAACTCCTTCCTGAAAAGCCCTCATGAAGTTGACTTTAGAGCATTTGCCAACTACCTGTCTTGCAGTAAACAGCAGGATTTGGCCTTGTCTTGTCACAGTGAACAATCGGATTTGAATACATTGATCTCAGTGGAGTTATTAACTGATACTTGTGCAACAAAAACACCGTTTGGCCCAAATGTTATGGAGAAATGATGGCAGCCTACATACTGAACAGATCCATTTCTCAGTGGTCACTGAAGCAGGGGAGGTATCCAATCTGTCCGTGATGCTTTGGGCTGTCTGAGCTTCCGTGGAGAATGTAGATTTCCATTTAAGTTGCATTCAGTTTTTATTCATGTTGGCTTAGAATATGTTAAATGTCCTTTTTTTCTTTCTTTCTTTCTTTCTTTCTTTCTTTCTTTCTTTCTTTCTTTCTTTCTTTCTTTCTTTCTTTCTTTCTTTCTTTCTTTCTTTCTTTCTTTCTTCAGAAATATTTAATATTTTTTTTTCTCTCCTAACTATGTGCAGGCTGGCATGGCTTTGACTTACGATCCAACAGCTGCTATACAGAATGGGTAAGATTTCTTTCTTTCTTTCTTTCTTTCTTTCTTTCTTTCTTTCTTTCTTTCTTTCTTTCTTAGAATATGTTAAATGTCCTTTCTTTCTTTCTTTCTTTCTTTCTTTCTTTCTTTCTTTCTTTCTTTCTTTCTTTCTTTCTTTCTTTCTTTCTTTCTTTCTTTCTTTCTTTCTTTCTTTCTTTTTTTTTTTTTTTTCTGCAGTAATAGTAAAAATCTGTTTTTCTTCCCTAACTATGTGCAGGCTGGCATGGCTTTGACTTACGATCCAACAGCTGCTATACAGAATGGGTAAGAAATGCATGTTTTCTTATGTCTTTTAAAAAACTATTTCAAATGCCATCTTCTGTTTTCTCTCTGTGGTGAAACTGACTCAGAAGCAAATTCAGTCAGTCATTATTTTGTCTGAAGCATGTAGTGCTATATTGTCAAATTCTTCTTTTAGTTTCCCTTTTGCTGTTATGCCCTCTTGTTTGTAATATCCATGTGAATGGGAAGTTGTTTTTCTTAATAGTTTCCATCTCTATTCAGCAAATGTTAGTGGATTTTTTTTAAACTCTCTCTGTCATGAAATGGAAACCAGTAAAATGTCCCTTTCCTGACTTTGCTTTGTTAAAATAATCATTGAAGATTCCAGCCTATTTTGGATAATAGAGCTGTTACTTCATCTGGGGTTCCCTCCACGGGCTGGCTGGCTTCCATGGCATTGTCTGAATAGAAATGCCAAAGAGGGAGAAGACCTTAAATTACTGTGTAAGCAGATGGGATTTAGGGGTAAAACTCTGAGCAAAACTGTTCTTCATTTCTCAACTACCAGTGCTGACACAAAGAGTTGTAACATATGGTTTTTTTCAAATTTAGCAGAGAAGTTACATCATCATATTATTTACCTGCATTATTACATTCCCAATTAATTCATGAGCTAGAAAACCAGTCTTGAAATATAGCTATCCTTTCATATAGGCTAACAACAACTGGAAGAGAAGCAGGGGGTTTGGCCCTAAACTCTTCGACAGTTGCTGTTTGATCAGAGAGATGTTTGATATGATTATCAAATACCATTCATATTCCTGTCTGCATTCTCCAACTGAAGGGGAGAATGCATTGATACAGATGAGAGTGGATTTATTTTTTAAGTATTTGTTAGGGCACGGCCAGTTAAAGGATTTAGAAAAAAATTTAACATTCTCAGTAGATGTACAAAAAATGATTAATAATAGTATATTTTACTTAATTGCCCTTTACTATTAATAGCTTTGTAGAACCTGTAATATTTCCATGTTATGGAGGAAGCAGCCAAACCAGAGCAATTCAGAAAAAAGAGGGGTTTTGCAGAGTTGTGATTACAGAATCTTCTGGGTTTGTTGCCCAGTTCTGACCTCCCAAATGAGTCTTTCTTCTCCATCTTCAGACTTTTCAGCTGTTAACACATTATAGGCTATAAATAAAAACATTGATAGTTCATAGTCCACGAGTGCTTCATCCAGACAACTACTTTTATTTCAAAGGAATTTTTGCAAGTTATTTGTGTGAATGTTTTGGAAACTGTAATTTGAATGATCCCTTGAGTTTAATATAATTTTACTTCAAGAAAAAAAAATTGAAAATAAGAAATTTATCTCAGAATCAGACATCATTTGTATTGGAGATTAAGCATATTGCTGAGGTGTTCAAGCTGCTCACTGATCAGCTGGTCACTCAATTGTTTGAACATGCTGTTACTGGTCATTGGGTAAAGAAATAGTACCCAATGGAGAATTTCAGCTCCGCAAGTTTTTTTTTTAATGTTCTTTTCTTTGTATAGCATGGAATAAGCTACAACGCTGCGTATCTAAGAGTGACAATTATCACTTTTACATACTTCTTTTTAGAGTGTCAAAATATTTTCAGTTTTGTCTGGGTAAAACAATCTCATTCAAAATGCTCTAACAGTGAGATCTTGATTGTATGCAGTATCATGAGGAGAAGCTCTTACTATGTGGAAAAATCTATTTATTCACCAAAAGTTAAACAACTGTTATTCATCCTTTAGTTACATCTTTAAAATGCTGTCACCTGAGGATCATCAGGACCCTCTGGTTACACAGTTTCTTTTAGATCCCCAGGCATTCATTTAATAGTCTCTATATATCCTGTAGTTATAAATGTTTACTATTTTTTCATAAACCTTTTTACTTGCAAGAACAATAAAAAGCTAACCTGTGGATTTTATTTTAGCTAAGTCCGGGAGCACCTTGATGCTTTGCATGTAAAAAGAGCAAATGCAATTTGTTGCTCACTGATGCAAGACACAGGTATAAAACCAGGTGTGTGTCCATGATGAAGGCTCTTAAACACTAGGAAGTAAAACAGGTTAACTTAATTGTCAGTCAAGAGTTGTGAAGCAAACACATTCATTGCTCATCCTCACAGTGAGAACACTCTGGAAGTGAGCACAAACCTGTGTTGATGGTCTTGTCATACCCTCTATATGGGTAATATGCTGCTGGATACTTTGGCAGTAAGGTCGACCAGGCTTTTAAGGTTTGCATGGAGCAACTCAAGTGTCTGCAAAACAAGGACTGCTTTCTTGTGGTAGGTCTCTTTGGTGCAGTCAGGTTAAGCACAGCTCAGGAATTGTTAGTGTGATGTGGCAAGCATGAGTCACTCAGTCCTTAGAGTGTCCACCATCAGGGAGTTTAAAAAACTGAGGTTGGAGATGGAAAGTATGAAGACACCCAAGCCAAACTACATCATTCAGGTGATGCATGAATTGCCAATAAGACTTAAAAAGGAAGATTAACTGTACATGCTGACATCTATTAGAGTCCTTTATAGGGCTGATGGATGCATTTTCATGCACATTGCTGTGCCCATGCAGGATTATGTGGAGGATAGAAGCCAGCTAGAGACATGTCCCTCTGCAGGTGTCAGGAGGTGATATTGAAAATTCATTTGCACCCTTTTTGAAAGGCTTGAATTATATTAGGGTTTGGGTTGTGGCATAACCAAAGGAAGAATTTGAACTCTTGTTGTCCAGATGAAAGGATGGGTTCTCATTGCTCTTGGTGTAGTACTATCACTTTTATTACTGTATAACTGCATATTTGACTTGAAAATCTGTAGCACGAATAAAACAAAAGAAAGAGAAAGAGGCTTTCACTAAAAATAGCTAAGGATTTTTTCCCCACAATGGAATAGATAATTTTCTTCTGAGTCTATTAGATTGTAAAGCTTGATTCCCCATTTAATTATATTGTTTTTATGCCCATGTAACTCTGTTTAAGCATGCAGTGGAGTTACATCACTGTAAAGCTGGTATAATGGAGTGGAGAATCTGGCCCACAGTGTACAATAGCATTGAAGCATGAGTTACTGAAGATGTGGTAAGCACACACTTCAGTAGATAAGCTCTTTCCCCTGCCAATCTCTTGGTGCCTCTTTTGTTTTATTATCAGCCTTTTCTGAATTGCATTTACAAAGGTACTCAGGTTTTATTTTGGGGACTAGTATGCCTGTTGTAATATGCTATTGATTTTTCAATTTGTGGTATTAATATTGTTTTGGTGGTTTAATGCACTCATACAAAGAACAAAGTAGAGCTCTTGTACTTGGACTGTAAGGATGCTCATTTAAGATGTTCCTGAGGCTGGATTTCTGCTGGCCATTTGACTAAGGTTGTGATGTACTGTATCAGTTTAATATCTGGATATCTAGGGAACTATATTGCACATTTGCTGGCCAATGGGCTCAATATTCAGATAGGTCTTTTTCATCTCAAACATCTGACTCTGTGGCTTATTGCAACAGAAAATTGCTGCCTTGATAACACTTGGTAATACTCCTACATTATGTGAGCCCCAGGATACTATTTATGAATCTAACTTTTTCAGTACTGCCTGCAGGCACAAGGCATGAGCAAATGGTGTTTATTGCAGTGCAAATAGGGTCTTGCTCTTGTGCAGATTCTGTGTGGAATCTTGCACATTCCCCCATAGGATGGGAACCATATGGATTTTTTTTTTCCCCATTTTTTGGCAGGGAACTGGCGACCAGACGCTACAGATAATTCAGTTCCCAAATGCAGAGGGAGGGTTAATGTAGGAGGAGAGTATGTGCTTTGTCTGTTAAGCAACAAACTGTTCTTAAAGCATTGCCCGTGTGTACTTGGTGATGTATTGGGAATGTGGTTCTTTTTAACATCTTTTAAAAACATGTTCTTTTGAGTCTTTTATAAACCCTCATTCAGGAAAGTTCATTAAAGTCTCCTTGCCTCCCAGTGATGAGTTTTCCCTGTGCTTATAGAATCCAGGCATGCTGAAAAAGTCTTATTTTTAATACAAGGGCCATGTGCATTTTTCCTCATCCCTGTCACCTGCCTTTCTATGCTGTTGGTTCTAGCAAAGCAGAAGGAGCTGAGGAGCAGCAACACTGGCTCACACCTGCAAAGAACTGTGAGGGCCAATATAAGGATGCAAACTGCATTTGTGGAAAATACAGCTGAGCCTTTTGGAGACCTCTACTTAGAGCCCACAGGTCAACTACCACAAAGCCTACAGCTCTCAAAGTACATTACCAAATACTGTATCTTTTAACGCCAGGAGATCTGGGGGTATCACTGAACAATATATCTAAAATGAGACAAAGCCAGTGTATAGCCTCTTTCTACTCCTCTTTCTGAGGTGCATATCCTGAGAATACTGTATTTCCTTGGACTTTGTCACAATAGGCATGTTTCACCTCATGTCATCTCTCCCTGAGCCTCTAAAGAAAAAAAAAAAAAGCAAGCCCAAGATCACATGTCAACATCAGTAGCCCAGATCTTGTTGGGATGCTGTAGGGTGTACATCACAACAGGCCACTTTTGCATTTTACTTCTTCCTATCTTTCACTAGGTGCCCAGCCTCTCCCCAATGCCAATTGCATGTTAGGATGTTAGCCTATTTGTATGTAAAAGGGATTTGAGGAGATGCCTCAATGTGAGATTATTTTAAGCCTCTTTGTCAGCAGGCCCTGCCAGGATGGTGCATTGTGGCAGGTTGAGCATCCTGCACCCGGGAGTGGAGCACTCCACTTGATTCTGCCCCCGGTGGGGATACTGCTGTCCTCACCACACCACTGTGCTTCACATGTGGCAGAGATATCCACCTGACACTGCAGCAGGAAGACAACAAACCTTAGTCTCTGTGTATAAGGGATTCCTGATTGCAAAATGTTTGACATACAGCCTGTTACAGTGTCTCAAACTGTTAAACTTGATTTATTAATATTCAAATTGAAACATATTAGCTGGATTTTCTCACACTGTCATTTGCTGCATCAGATTTCCTTCCTTTCCCTTCTTTGACACTCTGGTGCATGCATTTTCACAATATAGCTGAGTGTCCTGATAGTATGTTTTATTCGATGCTTATTTGAGAGCATTCCAAACTGTGACAGATAAATGGTATTGGCAGGGATGTTGAAAGGGCTCTATTTTTCATATTACCAGAGTGTATTATTCCACAAGCTTATGTACTATTCAGATAACTGCATCTCTAAGCTGAAGCTGAAATGGTTAGCTGTCTGTCATGTTCTTGGCTTAGCACACAATTTCTGTAATTAGGTAGTATTTGCTGGGATTTATTGGAGAGTTCATTCCAAAGTGTCAGCAGTACTTTCAAATTGAAAGATTTTTGTCCCCTGTATTTGCCTTTGTCCAAGTAGTTCATATGCAACATGAGTATGAGTGAGCATCAGTGGCAGGCTAATGAATAGAATAAGAACGGAATTAACAAAAATATGTCGTTTTCTCGAAAGAGTTTTCTTTTTATAGTGCCCTTCAGTTCAAGAGGTTTATATGTATTTCTGTTATACATTTTTTCTAGAAAGTAAATTCTCTCAGTCTGCTATTGGCTGTTTTCATTTGCCACATGCAGCATTTCTTTCTTCATCCACTTAGCAACAGCATAGCCAAAGTGATTTGTGGTTAACCTTGATCTGGGAGAAGACCCCTTTAACAGGACGTAGATAACAAATGCACCATGCTAGTACCATAGGTGAATCTGGCTAGTGCTGTAAAAATACTTTCCCCACCAATGCTGTATGAACTAAATGTTTGATAAAAGCAGTGGGATACAAATACCTCTAAGTTCTCCTGATAGGATATATATAAAATTGGTCAAAGGCACAGTTTTAAAATAGTCTCCGTGTGAGCATTGTAAGGGCAGATAAATGTTCCTAAAATAGCAATGTATTTCTATTAAACAAAAAATCACTCAGTTGCCACCTGCTGCTTTTGGCATTTTAAAATCTTATTTGGAATAGAGAGAACAAATGATTGCTTCTCTGTCTCCCTCTCCACTCCTAACTTTGAATGTTTCCACCGAAACTTCAATGACAGCAGCCTGTTTTTCCAAGCCTATTGGTTGGATGAAGTCGGTGGTTATTTGAGCCTGCATCCAGAATGAATGCATCCAGTCTGAACTAGACTGATTAGTACTAAATCCAGGATGCCAGGGTGATCAGGAAATAGAACACTTGTTGAAACACCAGTAATGAATTTTTTGTTGCATGGCTCTGATGGAAAGCTACTGTTGATTGCCTCAGTGTGGAAAGGAAAAAAACATAAAAAGGCAAGGAGTGTAATGCACTTCACTGTTAAAGGAGAGCATATATGAACAATCTGTTACTTGTAAGATTGCTGCACACTGTGTGAGAAGGGTCTGCATGAGAGTTAGTTTGGACAAGGGACCATTGCATTGGAGTATGTTTCCCTCTCTTGGAGTCCAAAATATCAGCATTTTGACAGTTGTAAGACCATAATAATTCTTTTTTTTAAGCAATTTTATTATTTTTTTTTGGCTGACAGTTAAAAATGAAAAACGGTCAAATGCAAAAATCTTTACAAGTACACACATATTAAGTACTTAGACAATCCACCAGTAGTGATATTTCCTAGTGATAATTTCATTAAAAATCATTAACCTACAGGGAAGAAGAAGAATAGTAACATTTATTACCATCAAGCAAGAGATAGTGCAACTTTTTTTCATAGCGTGCAGCAGTGGAAATAGAAAAAACTAAATCTGAGATGTTCAGTGCTGCCTAGGGCATTTAGACTCATAATTTGTGATGCATTCCAATAGAAGGTAGGTTTTTTGCTTTCTGCCTAGATGAATTGAAAATTTCAGCCAGAGTTTTTGTAGCCATCCCTTCATAAAATAATTCAGGCATGTATATGGAATGTGTTACTTGCAGCACTGAAGCATTAAGATCTGAAAAGAAAGCAGTACCACGTGTAAAAATGAAATCAGTAATATTGTCTCCGATATCATGTAAGAAATTCCCTTTTGCTAGCTAGTACTCTGGAAAATCAGCTGTCTTTGCATTTCAGTTAATTACTTCTTGTATCATGAAGTTCTTTATTTTTGCTAGTTGAAGTGAAAAAAAAAATGCTTTGTGTAAATATTCCTCCTCCTTTCCGTTTTCCAGATCTGTTCAGTGGAGCCATCACATCTTCTTTATTGTGGTTTTGGAAATAGATGGGCATAATTACCTGTGTAGACTTTTTTGCCTGGGAGGCAGTGAATTAGTCAGTCAGAGCCTAAGCAGTTGAAGGGGTCAAAAAAATCTTGCTTTTGTTCTTTGTTTGCAGATTTTATTCCTCACCGTACAGTATTCCAACAAACCGCATGATTCCACAGACATCAATCACGCCATTCATTGCTGCTTCCCCTGTCTCTACATATCAGGTACGTCAGATTTGTGCTTGTCTACTATGTTTCCCAGTTAATTATGTTTTGGATGTGGATGAAAGCACGGTGTATACCACAGAAAATTGTGTGAGTGCTTGTGCTCTTGAGTAACACTTTAAACAAAAGGCTTTCTAGTAGAATTCAGGTATCATTTGATGTATAGTTTTAAATGTTTCCTGCATTCCGTACACTAGCAATGAAAGCCAGGGTTATTTTTTTGTATTTCTATCAGCTTCTTTAGAAAACAGCATTTTTCTTCATTTCCATTTGACAACAGCAGAAGCTTGTCATTCTTACTGAAATGTTTTGTCCTTTTAGCCCTTGGTCCTTTTTTTGTTAGCCAAAAGTTTTATTTAAGTGTGCTTTTTAATAATTTATGTTGACTGCGTTGGACTTTGACCTTGGCTATATTTGCTTCAGTAACAGCATCCTTTAAAAGCACTTGTTTTTATCCAATAATCCTTGACAAAGCAAATTAGTTGAAGATAACTGTCCCCATATCCTTCTTCAGTCTCCCACATATTTTGTTGTTCAGAATTTCTCTTTTCAGCATATCCCTCACAGATCTTCACTGGAACATTATTGCCATGTTCTGGCTCTCTGAGATGGGAGTCAAAGCCAGGCTGTACAGTTTTACTATTGGCCATTCTCTGGGAATGTATCACTGCACTCTGATGCTGGTCATTGGCTCTACACTTTCCCATTTCAGTTATTTCTGTCCTATAGCATCAGTGCTCTTTCAATCTTGAGCCCTACCTGACATAATCTACCCAAACTTGCAAAACTGCATAGTAGTTTGTTTAGTGGACTGGATTTTTTGAGATGGTGAGCTACTGCTCACAGGTGATTCTGGGAGGTTGTGCTTGCGTTTACTGTTGTTTTAACATTGATACTGTTGTTTTAAACTTGATAATTTATTGTCATTTTCTCTGACATTTTGTTGTTTAATTTCAGATGGCTATGTAACACTTGCCAAACAGAAGTTGTTTTGGTAAAATAAATTTAGGAAATTTAGCAAATGGCAACTCCAAAGAAATGTCAGTGCCAGAGATATACAAGTGCAGCTCACGTGCATGTTTCTCAGTAGCAAAGCTGGCTTAAGAGAGTTGTACCTCTTCCCTCTTACTCAGGCCACTGAATTCAGTCTGAGCCACTTATTCCTATCAGTGCTCCACAGTTCACAGTTGCTTTCTGCTGCCTTCCTGACTTGAACCATTTCTTTGGCTCATGGTTTCATGCATTTGCATGGTGTGATGCATTTTTACCAAAAACATTTATTTTGTTTGGTTATTTTTTTACCCAATAGTTTGCAATGGAAGCCCTAAGACATTTGCCCTGGCAAAGTGAAGGAACTGCAAGTGTGCAAGGGTGGGAGCAATGAATGAACAGCTGCAAACTGTGGCAGCTCTAATATATTTTAACTAGTGAGGATTCACAGCAGAAAAGGTTGTAGCAGAGGTGTGCTTGCACATGTGTGTGCTGATTTTGGTTCTAAAGTTATTTCACTGAACTGGCTTTTCAACAAAAGATCTACTTTGATAAACTTCAGCAAGTGTTGAGGTACACAGTTATACAATTAATTCTCACCACTAACTTTATGAACAAAATCACAGG